CAGACTCCGAGGGAAAAAAGGAGTTGGCAATGCCATATAACATAATAGAAAAGTCATAAAGAAGAGAGGAAAGGGTGCTAAGTTTACAAACACGGCTGGGCATATGGTTTTGACCAGCTACAACCTAACGAGTTTTCCACTTTCTCAACAGTACATCATAAACAAATGCTTTTCCTGCATATGTGAGGCTCTGTTTCAACTTTGATAATGTAGAAGAGTCCAACTTGATCCATCGATCAATCATATCCACAGCATACTTAACTGCCTCAGGGACCCTATTATCATCAAGGAGCCCAACAACCAACAAATTGCCAGTTTCCTTCAAGTCAGATTTGTAATTCCCAATCATACATTTCCAAATTTTTATGGCCATATGAGGGTCTCCACCCTCCATAAATATCCTAACTGCTAAACTGCAATTTGAATGACTTGGCACACACTCGTTTTTAATCATCTCGGTAAATATTGGTGAAGCCTCATTTAACCTTCTATTCTTAATGACGAAGTGGAATAATACATTATAAGTTTGAGAATCCGGGAATGCCCCATTATACACCATCTCATCCAACAACCTTTTAGCTAAAGCACTGTCCATAACGTGACATTGTACGGTAATCATCGAATTATACATCTCGGTATCAGGTTTACAACCCTGTCCACCAACCATTGCCTCCCAAAGCAAAAGAGCATCTTTTCCGTCACCCTTCCTCTCACACTCCTCGATTGCAGCCTTTAAAAAGTTCATCCCTGGATAACACTGTCTTTCCTTCATTGCAGCAAAGAACTTCATTGCCTCACCAATCCCATCAGGACCCTTAATAACAGTAGTCAAAAACGTGTCATAAGCCGACACATTTCTGGGATCCCACCCAATTTCCATCAACATCTCAGCGAAAGTTTGGGTAGCACTAATCACATTCCCTTCATTCGCCCAGCCCTCCAACAAAATTGCATACGTATCCTCATCGGGCCTGATCATATACCTTGCAATACCCAAAAACTCCATTGCCTGATGAGTGTTACCATCCCTACAGATTGCACTAAGAAGTGAATTCAATGCAACAATGTCCCGTGTACAACCATACTGATCCATCACCTCAAACGTCGAGATAGCTTCTTTAACACGGTTCACCTCCACATAAGTGATGATATTTTTCTTTTATTTGACTGTCATTAATTGATAGTTAATTTTAGTTTATGAAAAACGGATTAAATTTATAGTCTAATGAGATGAGTTCAATATTAATAAATGATATATTTTAATGAACTTGTATACATCTTTTAATTGATGTGGTTGAAGTGGTTAAATGTAAGCTTTAATCTAATTATGGTCCATAATGAAAAAGTCCATTAGATTTTATTATAAATAGCAGGCTAGGTCCTCTCTCCATTTCATAACTCTAATTTAGTTTGTCTCATTGAGAGCCGCCTATTACTTTGAAGAAAGAGAAGAAGACTTTGCTTTTTCAAAAAAGAAATTCAAAGATCGAATATTATGACTCATTTAGGTATGTTTTAAATCTTATAATTTAAGTGTTTTAAATTTTATATACAAATCATTAAAATTTTTAACATGTGGTATCAGAGCCTATCATATATAAATTTAGAACCCAATAAAATTTATATTGTAATTTTGTGATATTCAATTTCATTATCGAATTGTTGCCGTCATTGGCCATGGAACACTATCACACAGACGTCGGCGGCACCGAGTTTCTGGAGCCGCCCTCAATAGATCTTTATCAAAAAAAAATAAAAAATAAAAAAAAAAATTGTGACGGCGGCTATATCAAATTCTCAACAACAGTTGCCGTCAATGGTTTAAAAATCAAGAGAACTAGAAGGTGTTAATTCTTTTAGGGAAAGGTTACTCTTCTTTTATAGGTGTCAAAGCAATTTTTGGTGGAGAACTTTCAAGCCGCCAGTAAAGTTGAAGAATTGATTGTAATCAAATTATTGATTGTTTAATCAAATTAGACTTTTAGATATTGATTTTTAATCAATATATAATTTGATTAAAGAATTTGTAATATCAAATAAATTTTATATTCACAACTCCTATAATATATTTTCTTTTTATGTTATAATGGTGGAATTGTTAGTTTATTACTTATGTCTTTTCTATTAAATAAACATTAATTATTCACGGATCATGTTTGATGAATAGATATATGTTTTACTCATATAAATTATTTTTTCATGTTGATTAACTTTGATTAAATTACTATAATTTATAGAGGGTATTTGTACAATTCTAATTTTAACCCCTAATGATTTGTATGATGAATTTTNATTTATAGAGGGTATTTGTACAATTCTAATTTTAACCCCTAATGATTTGTATGATGAATTTTTTTTTTTATGATCTACATATTTTTATTAAATGTTGGTAGATTTAAATTTAAATTATTAATTTTAATAATAAAAATAGAATTGAGATTTGAATCCAACGATTGATGATAGGTGATCTAAAGAGATATATATTGGTTAGTACTTCATATTGATTGATCACATGATATTTAATTATGGATAATTTATTATAATATCCTAGTTTGAGAAATTATATGAGTTAAAATGGATGATTGTCACCAAAGTGATCCATTTATTGAAATTTGTAAATTTTTCTCATATTTTTGTTACAGGATGGTCTCTAAATTATAATATACAATTATATGTCCAAAGGAGGTTATTGTATATTGTAATTTAGAGATGTTATGAAATATTGCGGTAGAGGTGTAATAGTCTAGAAGATTTATTTGTCTAAAAAGAATAAATTTTTTGAAACTTGAGCATTCTCACTAGTTAGTTTCATGAAAGAGAGGACCTATAGGATATTACATTATCTGCCCAAAGGGGAGTTTGTAGTGATGTATTTGGACTCTCTTAATAAAATATAACTTATTATGTTTAAAACATATTTTATTTATTTATTGTCCAATTTTGCTAATTGTTTATATTTTCGTTGCCTTGAACAGTCTCTTTTGTTGTGAATAGTAATAATGTCAATATTGAAGTTTTAACTACTTCTAATTATAAGAGATGGAAGCAAGATGTTGAGTTTATCTTGGGAATTGCTGATATTGACTTTGCCTTGAAAGAAAATGAACTTGCTAAACCTAGTAGCGAGAGTTCCCCTGATGAAAAAAATTTGTATGCAAAGTGGGAGAAATCTAATAGACTAAGTATGATTGTCATGAAAATGTCTATCTCTGAACACCTTATGAGTGGCTTGCCTGAAACCAAAAATGTTAATGAGTTCTTCACCGCTGTAAGAGAGAGATACAAGATATCTAATAAGACTGAAGCTGATGGACTAATGAATGAATTAACGAGTATGAAATATGACAATGTAAGTGGTGTTAGGGAACATATCTTTAGAATGGTCTATGTTCAAACTAAACTCAAAGCTTTCAAAGTTGTTATTCCTAATGATTTCATTGTTCATCACCCTCGTAACTCTTTGCCTCTTGAGTTTAGTAAATCAAAACTGCCTACAACTCCCAAAATGAGTCCTGAACAATTAATGACCTTATCTCCAAGTGTGATTTTGAGGAAGAAAAATTTTAAAAAGAAAATATTGAAACTACCTAATTTGTTTCTTAGCCTAAATCTAGTTTCAAATGTAGGAATCAGAAAAATAATATAAAACATAATCATAATACTCCAAAAAATGGTCAGAATTTTAAAAGGCATGGTATTGATCAGAATGTGGGAGGTCCTAAGGCTGTCATTCGAAAAAATGTCAAGTGTTACTCTTGCAAAAAACGAGATCATAAGAAAAGTGAGTGCACTCGATTCAATTCTTGGTTAGAAAAAAAAAAATAAAGAAGAAGGTAATTCACTAGCCTTTGTTTGCTTTGAATCCAATTTTGTTAATGTCCTATTAAATTGTTGGCGGATTAATAGTGGGGCTTCTGTTTATGTTGTCATGACTTTCTAGGGATTCACAAACAAACAGAGGCCAAGTGAAGGAGAAGTCAAGCTTAAAGCAGGAGATAATAATGAAGTCCATGTTGACTTCATAGGAACCGTTAGGTTGAATTTAGACATTAGTTTTCAACTTATTTTAGAAAAATATTTTTTATGTACCTTCATTTAGGCGAAATTTGATTTTAGTTTCTTTACTTAATAAAATTGGATTTTTTTTTTAATTTTAGTAATGATAAAACTCAATTATCTTTCAATTCCAAAATCGTTGGTCATTGTGTTTTATCAAATGGTCTATATAGTATATGTTTGGCTGTCAATAATGAATATGGTCTTTCAAATATTGTATCTAAGAGACCTTTTATTAAAGAAAATTTTTTACAATTGTGACATAAACGTTTGGGTCACATTTCTAAAGAAAGAGAGTGAAAAGATTAATAAAGAATGATATTTTTCCTCCCCTTGATTTTGGAGACCTTGAAACTTGTGTTGACTGCATTAAGGGTAAATTGATCAAGACTAAGAAGAAAAATGCGACTCACAATCTAGATCTTTTAGAAATCATTCACACTAACATCAGTGGACCTTACTCACGTACGTTGTGTGTTAATAAATATTTTATTATATTTATTAATGATTTCTCTCATTATGAATATATTTCTTTAATTAATGAAAAACCTGATACTCTTCAAAAGTTTAAAATTTTCAAGACTAGGGTAAAGAAACAATTAGGAAAAGTCATCAAAATTGTTAGGTTTGACTGTGGTGATGAGTATTATGGCAAGCATGTCGTGTCTGAACAGCATTTGGGACCGTTTGTCAAGTACTTGTAAAATTGTGGGATGGTTGCCCAATATACCATGTCTGGTAGTCTCAAGCAGAATGGTGTGGCTGAAAAGAATAATCGCACCCTTAAAGACATGATGAGTAGGTGTAACTTACTTGATTATCTTTGAAGAAAAGTCATTAAAACGACATCATACATTCTTAATAAAGTTTCTAGCAAATCTGTTCTAAAAATACGTTTTAAATTATGCACCATTAGGAAACCAAACTTTAACCATTTTTGAGTCTGAGATTGTTCTACTAAAGTCAAAATCTATAATTTTTTTGAGAAAAAAATTGATTCTAAAACTTTTCGTTGTTTCTTTATAGGTTACCCATAATATTCTAAAGGATACCGATTCTATTGTCCTACACGTGGTACTAAAATTGTTGAGTACTTAACAACAAAATTTTTGAAGCTTGATATTATTGATATTGGTTGTTAATAGCCTATTAGTGTGCATGAGCAAGATATATTTTTTTATATTCCTTTACCTGTTGTGCAATAAAATATTGTACATGTTCCTGTTGTTAATTTTGCTACTCCAGTTATTGATCATCATGTTCCTGTAATTGAACCTTCTGTTCTTATTGAGACTCCTCAGCCTTTACAGCAATACTACTGAAATTTTCTTGAGAAGGTCTACAAGACCAAGGAAACATGTTTTTTTTGATGAATATTATGTATACATTGGGGAAAGTGATTATAATATTGGTGATATTGTTGATCCTGTAACATACCATGATGCTATTACTTGTCCTCAGTCTGATATGTTGGTAAATGCCATGAAAAATGAGATGCATTCTATGATACACAATGAAGTACGGGAGTTTGTAGAATTTCTTGAGAGATGTAAACCCATTGGTTACAAATGAGTGTTTAAAACTAAGATGGACTCTAAATGTAAGATGATTTAAGGCTAGATTGGTAGGAAAAAGTTATAGACAGAGGAAAAGTATAGATTTTAATGAAACTTTCTCACTTGTCTCCACTAAAGATTTTTTCGGGATCATTATGACATTAGTGACTCATTTTGATCTAGAACTTCACTAGATGTATGTAAAGACAGCTTTCCTGAATGGTGATCTTAGTAAAGAAGTTTATATGATGCAGCCTGAGGGTTTTAAGGAGAATGAGAAAAGAGTAATTACTGTGCAAGTTGAAGAAGTCTATTTATAGTCTCAAACATGCTTCTCGTCAGTGGTACTTGAAATTTGATGAGATGGTAAGTTCTCTTGATTTTGTTGAGAACAAGATAAATCAATGCATATATCTTAAGGTCAGTAGGAGCAAATTTATTTTTTTTGTTCTTTATGTTGATGATATTTTGCTTGCAAGTAATGATTGGAGTTTACTTCATGAGATTAAGCAATTATTGTGCAAAATATTTGACATGAAAAATCTTGGGAAAACATCTTTTGTGTTAGGCATTCAGATTCATCCAGATGGAAGTCATGGGTTGTTGGGACTTTCTCAAATGACATATAGAGATCGTGTATTTGAAAGATTTAATATGCATAATTGTAAGTTTGAGAATGTACCTATTGTAAAAGGTGATAAATTCAGTTTAAGTCAATACCCCAAGAATGATCTTGAGGAGGAGTCTATGAAGAGTATACCTTATGCGAGTGTTGTTGGCAGTTTAATGTATGCACAGATTTGTACTAGGCCTGACATTATTTTTGCAGTTAGTGTTCTTAGTAGATATCTTTCTAAACTAGAATTAAATCATTGGGTGACAGCTAAGAAAATTATGAGATACTTGCAGAAAACAAAAAAAAAATTATATGCTTGTTTATAGGAGAGTTGGTAGTCTTGAGGCGATTGGTTACTCAGATTCAGATTTTACTGGGTGTCAGGATAATTTAAAATTCATTTCAAGATATATTTTCATGTTAGCTAGAAGACCAATATCATGGAAGAGTATTAAATAAACTCTCACAACTTCTTCCACTATGCAAGCTGAATTTGTAGCTTATTATGGAGCTGCAACACAAGCTATATGACTAAGGAATTTTATGTCAAGAATTATGATTGTTGATTCAATCTCTAGACCACTAACAATTTATTGTGATAATAGTGTAGTTGTGTTCTTCTCAAAGAACAACAAACATTCTAGTGGGTCTAAACATATGAAAATTAAATATCTTTCTGATAGGGATCTTGTGAAGAAATGTGACATTGTGATTAAACATATTGATACAGAATCATTAACCAAGAGACTGAGACCTGTAACTTTTAAGAAACATGTTGACAACATGGATATTTTTGGATCTTTTGATGTACTTGGTTAGTGAGAGTTTTTTTTATGAGTTAAGAACTTTAGTGTTGAGTTAATTTTATGTGTGATATTTGATACTCATTATGGTTGAGATACATCTATTTGATGAATAATAAATATTTGATGATGATGCTTATTGTTAGCATGATATTTTTACTATGTTATATGTGTACACATTTATGACATATCATTTTGTACAAAATCTTAAAGCTTGGTGTATGTCTTAAGTATGACTGTTTTGTCAATTGAGTATGTCTCTAATTATACCATATGAGAAAACCTTGTAATTTTAAGTTTGGAGACATACTAACTTATTGTTGAAGGTAATAAATTTTTCTAACTTATTGTTGAAGCATGTTGTTAAAGAAAAATTATTTGGAGGACTGAAAATAAAAATAACATATTTATCAGATCATATATTAAGATGTTATTTTCTTACTACACTATCACATCTTGATCCATGTCAATAGAATTATTATTTTTTTGTAATCATTGATTGATCATATGTCAATAAAAGATATAAAGGCCGTCATGGTTCGAAAATAATAGTTTTATTGGATAGGGTTGTATTTGAGAAGTTGTCTTAGGACCATATTATTTTTTATTGTGGCCACATTGAGTTTTGTTTGATTAACCCGAGTGTTGTTTTCAAATATATACATATAATTTTATTTTATTTCTAAATGACTACAATTAATGTTGTCAAAGTGGGAGAATGTTAATATTTTTCCTATATTGGACTGTTATTAATTGATAGTTAATTTTAGTTTGTGAAAAACGGACTAAATTTATGGTCCAATGAGATGAGTTTAATATTATTAAGTAATCTATTTTGATGGATTTATGTACATCTTTAATTAATGTGGTTGAGGCAGTTAAGTATAGATCTTAATCTAATTAAAACCCGTAATAGGAGAATCTATTAGATTTCATTATAAATAACAAGTTAGGTCTCATCTCTATTTCATAACTTTAATTTGAGTTATCCCATTGAAAACCGCTTATTGTTTTGAAGAAAGAGTGCCCTTTAAAAAAAGAAATTCAAAAATCGAGTATCATAAGTCACACAAATATATTCTAAACTTTATAATTTAGGTTTTTATATACGAATGATTAAAATTACTAACAATAACTACTAAAAACAAACGCAAATGTGGCCAAAGAAAGCAACCCTTCATCCTTCATCGACTTAATTGCGTTTCGCATTGCATCAAACAAACGATTCTTGCCTAACATTTCAACTATCAAGTTCCAAGCATATGGACTATGCTTGTCATTGAGCTGGTGACCAGACCATCGGAAGAACTTCACGGCGGGACCGGGGAACCCGTAAGACAATTTCAACACTTCTTCAACATCTTGTTGAGAAAGCCTAATGCCAGTATCGTCAAGAACTTTTTCGACACTCAATGAAGGTTTGTTAGCTATGATTTCACAAAGTGATTTCACTTTGGGTGGCAAATTGGGCGTTTCCAGATATGAAGCGAAAGTCAGACACTTTCCCACTTCTTGTTGTTTAAAATCTCAGTTGTTCCGACCATGAGGAGATGAATTTGTTGGGTGGTACGAACCTGATGAAAAATGGGGTTTCTTATAAGGGTCAACCTTCGATGATGATGGAGAAGAAGAATCCTCGTGGAGTGTTCGCTTCTTGGTCTCGCCCATGATTATTCTAGGTCGAATTGCAGGCAAAACCCATCTATTAAAGATAACACATGAGTAAATTTTCAAGGAATTGGGTCAGAAATCAGAGTTAGAAACCCTAGCTCAACATTGAGAGTGAAGAGTGATAACAGAAAGGTTTTCCTGTCGCAGGGCTATGTTGTACAGTGTCTGGGAATTGGGACAGTCGAATTGATGATGNTAACAGAAAGGTTTTCCTGTCGCAGGGCTATGTTGTACAGTGTCTGGGATTTGGGACAGTCGAATTGATGATGAGGCTCTGGTTCAAAATGACTAAAATGCCCAAAACCAAACATGTAAATGGCAAATTGTACTTTGGGCCCCAAAGAATTTATGAATTTTTAATTGTACCCTCAAAGATTTATGAGTTTTTCATTGAATGAGCAACAAAAATTAAAAATAACAAAATGAACATATTGCAACATTTTTAATATCCCACAAATGATATTTTTCCTATTCTAAATTGGCATAAATCCCAAAAGTGGAGCTTATTCACACCACACAAATCTTCGTTCCTACTATATTAAACTATAAATCTTAAAATGACTAAGAACATTTTTTTATACTTACCCCATTAGTAATTAAGTTGACTCAATTAATAAAAAAATTTATCTCAATTTTTATTTATAGGTATTTTTTTAAATACCATCTCACATAGTTTATACACAAAATATACTCAATTTTTTTCTACTTTGGGTTTCTTGTATGTTAAATTATTTCAACTGTCACTGTCCTATCTCTATCTTTCTCAATCTCATTATTGGAATAATACTCCGATTCGACTTTGCACTTATCTTCATTTCTTAGTCATCGGTTGAAGAAATTTGCAAGAAAAAAGATATTTTTCACACACAACTTAAAACTAAATATAAAAATCAAATTTGTGTCCATCACAAATATATATAAAAAAATCTCTTTGAGTCTTCATTAGATGTTGCATTTGAAGTAAAGTTTCTTGAAAAGTAAAATAAAAAGGTTATTAAGTCTCCTTCTTTTAAGTCACAGAGTATATACAAAAATTGTTTGTATAAATTATGTGAGATGAGGTATACAAAGAAACCTTAAAAATATAGATTAAGATAAGTTTAGTTATTAATAAGTGAATTCATAATGAGGTGAATTTAGTTATTAATTGGGTAAGTATACATGAGATGAATTTAATAATTGAGTAATACTGTTTGAAATTAAAAATTTAATTTAATTTATTGACATAATAATATCACTCTTAATAATTTTATGATTCATAATTTAGTGAGGGGAGAACGGATATTCCTAGAGTGGGAATAGTCCAATCCTAACCCAAATTAGCATGAAAGACGCCTCGGAGGTAGCCACGTCACACCTGATCACAAGCCTGTTTCCAATTTATAAAGAGGCATAAACCAGTACACACAGGGGGAAACCCTACTGTGGTGGTTGTCACTGTGGTTCCATCTCTCTCCCTCAACCATGTCTGACCACAGTGCAGAGTCCCAAGACGCTTCACCCAAGGAGATGGAACCTGAGAAAACCGAGACCGGGCACCAAGCTCAGTCCTCCGTCGGTAAACTCTTTCTTACGTTTTCTCCTTTCTTTTCCTCTGTTTGGTTTCTGAGAAATTGCTAGGAAATGCCCTGGAATATAATTTTTTTTATTTATATATATTTGGTGTTGTTTTTGGTTCTCGAGTGTCAAACAATGATCACTTAGATATATCACCTGCTTTATTTAGCTCCGATTTTTTTTCGTGTCTACATTTTTCTCAATGGCCAACATAATGGGCTCAATCGAGGTTTTCGGTTTATGTTTTAGTAATATATGGATCCCATGAGGATTTTTTTAACTGTACTATTTCCCTTGTTTTTTTCACAAGGTTAATGGTGTGAAAGTGGTGTTTGTGCTGTTGGTTCTTGTTAGTGGGGTTTCCAATTGGTTATTTGTGTGAAAGAAAGGTTGGATGTTTGTGGTTGAATGTTTTAATTTCGTGGGTTGTGCAAGTTTCGCCCTATTGTTTGTTATGGGACCCAATTTCTTTATGTGTAAGTGAGGATTATTTGTTGTTGGCGAGCTATTTTCCTGTTATCCTTGTTATATGTGCTGGAAATTATTGTTTGTTGCTAATGTGCTTAACTTTGTAAGAATGTGTTTGCCTACACAAGTTTTACACTGTTTTCAATTTTTTTTTTTTTGAAATTTGTTGCTTTTGGGCCACATTTTGTTTCTATTTTTTGGTTCAGTATTTTGGAATAATTTTCATTAGCCTTCCAAATAGAAATTATATACTTGGCTGAACAGAATTTAGCAACTCAATTGTGTACAGAGACAGTATCAGGAAAAAAAAAAAACTGCAGACGTGTCCATCTTGTTTTTATCATTCTGATAAAAATGTTTTAATGCATTCACAATTATCTAATTCATAAAAGACTGGTCATGTGCTACAATGAACCTTACATCTTTTTGTTGGCAGAATCTTGTGCAATGTAGAATACAGATGGCAAGTCCCTGGCTCATTCATGTTGGTTAATTTGTTCGAAACTGTTATAGTAAATGGCGTTGGATATTTTGCATAGGGTGCTTAGCCTTGGACTTGTCTCATCTGATTCATTTTGTAGTTTCCATAAAAACTAGGCTTTTTAGTGATATGCGTCTTCTTGTAAGTGATTGCCTATATATCATTCATTGATTTTTGTAAGTGATATGTTTATAAGATGATAATGAAGTCTGGATTGCATCTGTTACGTTAGCATTCGATATAAATGCATCATGGTATAACTACTTTCCTTAATTTTGCATAGGTATCTCATACAAGAACCGTTTACAAGAGTACACACAACGGTCATGCTTACCGCTTCCAATATATGATACTATCAATGAAGGAGAACATCATTTACCAAAGTTTAGATCCACAGTGTTGGTAGATGGATCATACTGTACCTCTCCCAACATATTTTCACATAGAAAGGAGGCGGAACAGGATGTTGCCAGGGTTGCCTTGCTTGATATATCACAAAAGATAAAGGATGGAGGATGTCCTTTTATTCGTGAGGTTTGATGCATGCAATATTTAGATTTCAACTTGCATAGTTTGGATTTATCTCAAATGCCATGAATAGTTAACAGTTTATCATGTGAGTCATTTGTGTCGACTGAGATATTATTTTGCAAGGTATTGTCACACAGATGTTTTGTGTTATCCCATGTCTAATTGAATTTTGTGATGATTGCATTTTCTAGTTTGACATAGCTGATGTTCTTTTGTCTATCCATTCGAACATGGGATCATAGAAGAGTAATGCCCTGTCACATCTTGGTTGTCTGACACAACAAGGTCATCAAAAAATTGTGCAATCAAAGTAATAAGTGTTAGATTTAGTTCTACATTAATAAAATAATACTTCTCAATCTAGTATATTAGTCTTGATTAGGGCTGCCCCAGCCAATGATGCTTAGCTGGTATTTTCTGGGACTGGGACTGGGACGCGGCCCAGACCCCTTGAGAGGCAACAGTGGGGAATCTTAGACAATGGGAGAAAGACCGATCTGTACACAATTTTTGGATGGTGCTTGTTGATTTTGGTTTTTTTGGGAAGAGGATAAGTTCTTGATGTTGAGCAGACTCAATCTTGTTTAATATTTTCTGTATTCATGTTATTCATCATCTTGGAATTTCAACTCCTTATGGTATAAGATGCTGCCCGTTGTCTAAGTTTTGATTTCTTTCCTTTCCTGCTTCCTCCTCCCCTCTCCCTCCACTTATCAGGATACAGTCTTTTGCAAGTCTATCCTGAATGAATATGCTATCAAGTTGAGTCTGGAAAAACCCACATATGAAACAACTCAATCGAAGGGATTGATTCCAGCTTTTGTATCCTGTTCGGTTTTCAATGGTATTACATACACTGGAGAAACTGGCAGAAACAAGAAAGAGGCTGAACAATTGGCAGCACGTGCTGTTATCTTATCAGTTTTAGGTATTATTTCTATGCTTTAAATTATATAATTATAATTTATTACCTCCTTGAAAGATATAAACTATATCTACCTGTCCCTGCAGATTCTGATTCTAGAACCGTTATGTCCGAGATAATTAATTCCAAACACAAGCTTTATGCTGCATTGAATAAAGTTAAGGAGACACACAATGTTCACAATGGCATTACTCCTGATGGAATGAACACAGGAAATGGTCTTGGCATCCCCTTGAGCAAAAGAAAAGAAGTTGAAGCTACTGGGGGTACTAATAACATGCCTATTACTGCAGTTTCTGAGCCTTGCTTGGGACAAAATACTATTATTCCTGCAGCACATCCACCTTTCCATCAATTTAAGAGACCTAAATTAGAATCCTCATCGGAGGCGACACCTACCCCAATCCAATTTGTGCCTCCAGTTTTGGAGCAGCCTCTGCTTGGTGATTCAACAACTGATAGGAAGCGAAATCGTAGAAACAAGAAGAAAGCTAAAAAGAACGAGCACGATAATGCTCAGTAAGTATAACTTTTTATCTGTTTTTGATTGTTTTTATTAGTTTGTTATGATCTGCTGCAATCTTGTGCTCTCCGGTGTGAAGTAGCACTACATGTGATATTGCTCAACCCTTCCCTGCCCTTTGGAACATCTAATGGTTGCATGAAAAATCTTGTAAACGAGCATGTTTTTTCCATTTTGAATTTGACAGGTGGGGTATGTATTGTTATGATTGTTGTCCAGGGTGAACTTCCCAATAGTTTTTGGATGCATGCTGTGTTTTATGTTAGTTTAATTGCTACTGTTAGAGTGCCGATATGGAGATGTTGTAATTTTAGCTAGTGTGAATCAATTTGATTGTGATTTGTGACCATAAAATAGCTTCTTACTTGAGAAGGAAACATACTTTTCATGGTCATTGTTGTTACAATTTTAGAATTGATCACCCAAGTGCAGGTTGTGCGAAGTAATATAATACTCGAAAGTCCGAGGTCGAACCAAAGGGAATTGAAAAAACTTAGAACACAATGAAAAATAAAAGAAAATTGTTTTGAAAAAATTGTTGTAGAGATTTTGAAATTAGAAAACAATAAATTTGGTTTTAAAAATAATAATTGAAAATACTAAAGCATTGGGATATCTTTTCAAATCCACACGGCAATTATTAATAATTTAGTTTTCGAACTCAATTGGGAATCAGTTGAGAAGTGATCCCAATCGAAATATTTAGCAGTGATAATATAAAAATATCAATAGTTATAATTAATGAATTATCTGAATAAATATATGAATTTACTTGTAGATCACAAGCAGTCACAATGCCCGGAGTCTACGATAAATCAAGCTTTCCAACAGGTACACCTTTATTTATTGCAAATAATAAATTAATTATCTTGTGAGAAATTCTAATTAATTAATTCGAACATAAAATAATCAGTTATTTGACTCGCAGGGAATCTCAAATATTTGATGTACGTGACACAATGAATCAAGAAATTATATAAAGCAAAAACTTTACTGAAAGACAAAAATTAAACATGCATTAAAAAGAACATTGAATTAAAAATAAATACTGTGCTTCATTAAAAGTTCTCCCATAGCTTTAGTTGGGCTTTTAGCAAGCCATAGAACAAGAACAAAAACAAATACTAAAAAAGAAAAGAAAAGAAAGGATGGGAAGAAAATAATAATTTCTCTCAAAAGATGAGAGATTTTATTTATACTGAAATAAATCTTAGGTATAGGTAGAAGATATAAGGATGGATTGTGAAGAATTCATTTGCAAAAAGAAGTATTTTAAAGTAAAATCCCGTGCATAAAATCTTAGGGGCGCAAATACAAAATTTGTCTAGACTTAGAACTTCAATTTCGCATATTTAGAAGCCGAATCACAAAATTTTCGTAAAATACACTTTTGTAGCCCTTGAAGTTTTCTTTCCAATCCCGCAAAAATCAGGTCAATCGGATATCGGAGTCAAAAGTTATGACTAAAATACTAAATACGTGTCAAATCCTTATCTTCTAGGATACTTTCTTAATCAAACTTTAAATGAGTTTTTTTTCTAACTTGGACTCTTTTAAGGATTAAATTGTCACCTTATCTTCAAATCTTCCTATCTTTATATTAACTCTTCAATCCTTATCAATTGTGATTCTTCCTCCGATGATTGCTTTACTTGCCTTATCTAATATTACTTTAAATCAACCAATTTACCTGTAAAATAAACTAAACAACTAGAAAAAATATCAAACTAGAAAATTAAGGAATTTAACACATTTAATCATAAATAATATGCAATTAACTAATCATTAAATATAATAAAATAACACTTTTGATGGTTAATCAATTGTCCTCCTATTCGGAATTGTGGCAGAGTAGCCATTTCTGATGATAGTAGGAATAATATTTTGTTCTTGAAATTGGAGTCACTTGATGCCTTAAAGATTGGTTCTTTCACATGGACAACAGTATCTCCACTTCATATTCGATTGTGTGATCCTGTGTTTCTCTTGCCATGTACTTACCCGACACACTAGTTGTGTCGATATTGGTAAATATGCTCTGGATCGATGTTGCTCATCTTAGGTGTTGATTTTTAAATGTCATAGTGACATGCAAAGTTGAAACGTAACCATGTAGTTTTGGGGAAAAGGACTACCATAAAATTAAAATATGGCTGTCATTTTACGGTTTTTCTGTTAGCTTTTGAACCCACTACACCTAAAATGACCGGGAGAGATACAGTTGTTGTACATAGTATTCGTGCTGAATTTGAGAACCCCAACAGTGTGGAGTCTTGGGAGTTTGCTGGTAACTTCATGAACTAGAGTAATGGTTGTATTTAATTTCTTTATCTTGTCTTCTATTGAGGACAATATTTTGCACTCAGTTTGTGGAGCTCCACTGTTTTTTCTTTTGCTAATACAAATAATACTTTATGAGTTGTGCTTTCTTCAATCCATTTGTTTGGGTGGGAAAAAAGAGAATATGAAACAAAATTGTATGTAGTGTTCATGTTGGCAACATCCTATCATAGAAAGTTGATTATAATAAGAAAACAACATAATTGAAAAGTTAAATAATAAGAAAGCGACATAGTAGGAAAATAGAACAATAAGAATGTAACACTCCGTTTCAAGTTGGAGGATAGAGATAAAAAAATGTTCAGTTTGGATTAAAGGCTTCGAAAGATGGACCGTGCCAATTGTTTGGTGAGAAATCATTGAGTTGACTACAATATCTCACAATGGACCTAAGAAGCACAAATACAGATATGGGTACGATACAATACGATACGAATACAGTAATACGACAAAATTTTAAAAAAATAGGATACGGATACGGTTAAAATATGTCTATAATAAAATATATTTTATATTTTACTATTATCTAACGACTTAAAAATTATAATTTTCAATAATTCTTTAATTGTAGTAAACAACATTATGAATTTTTACTTTAAAAAAATGTAATATCGTTTCATTATGATATATTCATAAAATGAGTGTGACCAATAAAAAGAATCAGAATCACATTTAACTATTTGATTTGTTTACAAGTATTTGTTTTTAAAATTATACGAACTCATTTTTTTATACTCTTTTGACATGTAAAAATAGATAATACTTAAAAATTACTCATGTCTTCAAAATTAAATAGAATTTTGTTGATATTTGTATTGCATATGAATTCGAAAGGAGAGGATATAGATTAAAATAAAAAAAATTTCATCTTGCTCTATTTTTAGAAATATCTACATATTTTATTAATTATCGGATGTGTATGATATGTATCCGATACGTATTCTAGAGTGTATGACAAGTATTGTATCCGATATGGGTACATCGATCTTGGCGAAGTATCCATGCTTCATAGCAATGGACAATAAAGCCAAGTTCTAGGTAACTGCACGGACTTCCTTAATTGAAACACACTACCACAATGTTCTCCCTTAGCAACAAATCCAAGTGGTTGCTCCACATTAATAAGCAATGGCAAACAATGATCATGACAACATAGAGAAAAAGGTGACGAAAAATCATACACGATAATACTAGCACCACCACTAACAATATTGACATAAACGAGTACAACTAACAACACCACAATAAACCCACAAGCAGCAACAAATTCGAGCATAACAATCGAAATCAGGATAGACCAAGTAGAATCGGAGTGGAATCATCTAAAAAGGGGATGAATCGATAATGAAACCCACAAAAGCAATACTGAGACGGGATGAATGCCAACATTGACTCTGAACTAGGATGAAAACCAATAACTAGCACCAAATTGTGCCAAAAAACACTGAACCAACACTAAATTGGGTTGAAACACTTGATTGAAATAGAGCTAAGATGAAAACCACTAAACTAACATCAAATCTGGCCCAAAAAATCAAATCAGCACTAAACCGGAATTAGTGCGGGGGTAAAAACCACTAAACTAGCATTAAATTGGGCAGAAAACCACTGAATTGACTTAAGTTGGGTTAAAAACACGGAAATAAAATTAAATCGGGATGAAAATTATGAAACTAGTGCCAAACTAGCTTGAAAACCATTGAATCAACACTAAATCAGGCTAAAAACACTTCACTGGAATTGAGTTGGGTTGAAAACTAGAGAATCAACACCAAACTGTATTGAAAATCACTGAATCGACATTAAATTGGGTTGAAAACAATGAACCGAAATTGAAAAATGATGAAACCCACTAAATCAATACCAAATTGGCCCAAAAATCACTAAACTGACACTAAACCATGCTAAAAATTGTGTGAACTTAAATTGAACTAGGTTAAAAGCTCTAAAACCGAAATTGAACGGAATGAAAACCATTGAAGCAACACCAAATTGGGCCAAATATCACTGAACCAACTCTAAATCGGTCTAAAAACTCTAAAATTTGTAGTGATGATTAGACATCGGAGAAAAGAACACGGATTCAAGCACCTCACAACAATTAATAATGATCACAACGGGGGATGAGCAACTTATGCATATATCGACAACAGGAAAACTTCAACTTAGATTGATTTCGGCAACGACAACAACTGACAAATTTGCTGACGAATACAACTTAATATATATGTGCTAAGTCAGTTCAACCACTAGGCGAGTGAGGCACTCGCCTAGGGCCCTGTTCACCCTTGATCTGATACCAAGTTGAAACTTGAATAATTGTATGGTAGTGTTAAGAAAAAAAAAGAGACAAAAAAAAGGGAGAAAATATAAAATAATAGTGTGTAGGGTGTACGTTGCCAACACCCTATTATATATTTATATCAGGTTGATATTGAAGACAATTACAATATTAAGAAAATAGAACATAATAGGAAATCCACGTAATAGGCAAACAACATAATAGGAAAGTAACACTCCAACATAGTGGACATGCTTGAACCCATGTAGTCATGTTTTACTAATCCTCTAGGGACTTGTGTCTCCAGGAAACCAATTACGGATTTTTGCTTCTTTTTTTTTAATTTGAGGGTTGTGGGATCATTCTTCTTAATTTCACATACTTTGTCTGTTGCAACGTTTTGTAACATGCTATTGATTGATTATGATAATGGATGATGCATATCTGTATCAATGAAATAGATTGCTGATCTCGTGGTCAGTCAATGTTTGGGAGTCGGGACTAGTGTCCAGGGCATTATGTTTCACATAATTGGAGGCCATATACAATTAATCTTCATATTGGTAGACATACAGTAGAAGTGATTGTTTGTATCAACCCCTTTGGGGAAATTATGCCAAAAGTTGGGTTTGTACCTCAACTATTCCTCTCCGAGCCCGTTAATAGGGGATAAACTGGGTGTTATTTAGAGTTGATATGGCAGGGCTTGTGGTAAATTAAGGTGTTAGCATGAGGTCATTCATAGATAAGGTTGGATATAGGCTGAAGAAAAGCATATCTTAATTTATTCGCATCAATATATGGTATATCAATGACATGTCTTGGTGTGAATCGAAACTTCAAACCATGGTGTTAGGTTATTCATAGTTAAGGTTGAAAATAGGTCTTCATTTCAAGAATGAATGGTAGTAAGTGGGATTTTCACGTATTATGTTTAAAATTTTGTAGATTCTTGTCGATATTGAATACCAAGATGCTCAGATTATACTCATATTATGGTTTTTCCATGCTGTTCCTTGTGATGGGCAATCCCTTTGATAGACTTACTCAGTAGCTGTGAATGCATAATAGTGAGTTTAGATATGTCTGCTTATTAAGATCTAGATGACAAGAGTTCTGCTCTAAAGTATCTGGATTCTGGACTCTGCTTCTTTGTTTCAAATTTTCCATCACTTGTAGCCAAGTATTCATGGCCTCCATTTTTTGGAATTGTGCTCGCTTATCATTGGATGAGAAAAACTGAACAAAAAAATTGAGCTCGATTATATCCTTTTAGGTTGAAGGTGATAAAAGTATAATTAATGTCTTGGTCCAGTGGTAAAGGTGAGGCTGTTAAGGAGCAAAATGCCATGCTTGAATGACGCACACATCATAGAAATGGAATATAATGGGTCTGCTTAACTGTTTAGCAAAGTTTATTAATAATTTTTGTGGGGTTTTTTTTTAAAATTTTTATGTGTACAAATTTCTTGTATGGGTATTCAGTTTACTTATTTATTGCTTATTATTCTGAGATTGCAGATTACCCGTTGCTATGGTGCCTTTGGGTCATGTTCCTCCTTGTTCAGTGGCCCAATGACTGGCTGATATCGCCGTAGCTCNTAAACTGGGTGTTATTTAGAGTTGATATGGCAGGGCTTGTGGTAAATTAAGGTGTTAGCATGAGGTCATTCATAGATAAGGTTGGATATAGGCTGAAGAAAAGCATATCTTAATTTATTCGCATCAATATATGGTATATCAATGACATGTCTTGGTGTGAATCGAAACTTCAAACCATGGTGTTAGGTTATTCATAGTTAAGGTTGAAAATAGATCTTCATTTCAAGAATGAATGGTAGTAAGTGGGATTTTCACGTATTATGTTTAAAATTTTGTAGATTCTTGTCGATATTGAATACCAAGATGCTCAGATTATACTCATATTATGGTTTTTCCATGCTGTTCCTTGTGATGGGCAATCCCTTTGATAGACTTACTCAGTAGCTGTGAATGCATAATAGTGAGTTTAGATATGTCTGCTTATTAAGATCTAGATGACAAGAGTTCTGCTCTAAAGTATCTGGATTCTGGACTCTGCTTCTTTGTTTCAAATTTTCCATCACTTGTAGCCAAGTATTCATGGCCTCCATTTTTTGGAATTGTGCTCGCTTATCATTGGATGAGAAAAACTGAACAAAAAAATTGAGCTCGATTATATCCTTTTAGGTTGAAGGTGATAAAAGTATAATTAATGTCTTGGTCCAGTGGTAAAGGTGAGGCTGTTAAGGAGCAAAATGCCACGCTTGAATGACGCACACATCATAGAAATGGAATATAATGGGTCTGCTTAACTGTTTAGCAAAGTTTATTAATAATTTTTGTGGGGTTTTTTTTTAAAATTTTTATGTGTACAAATTTCTTGTATGGGTATTCAGTTTACTTATTTATTGCTTATTATTCTGAGATTGCAGATTACCCGTTGCTATGGTGCCTTTGGGTCATGTTCCTCCTTGTTCAGTGGCCCAATGACTGGCTGATATCGCCGTAGCTCTGTTTTAGGTGAACCAACCTTTGTTTATATCTTGTCAATATGACGTCTTAATTATAAGTATACCTTTCTGTGGTTGACTTCTCCTAATTGGATTCCTTTAACTTTATTAGATGTACAGTAGGATACAAATGTTGAGCCTGTGCTCTTGTGTGAGCTCTTCTTTTATAAGGATTTTCTTCTGGTCAGTTACAGTTCATTTATTCTGAAAAAATGCAGGTTTATGGGTTGCAGTGTTTCCTGGAACCAAGTTCATTCAGTAGTCCAATGAGAGGCGCATTTTGTTGTATTTTTTTTTTATTTATAAGGGGTGGCTCAAACCTTTATCTTGTTGGACATATAACTGTGTCTTGTAATATATAGGATATGCAGCTCCTTTGACATTTTTAGCTTCTTACTAGTGGCATTTCAGTTGGTGTTAGTTAACTCCTGTAAATCTAGTCTTCACTTAGAAAGGTGTGGTATATCACATATGCATATTGTAGTTATCGGATGGGATGGAATGTGTATATATCTTGGGAATACCTTGCACACAGGATGGTTGTTACGGGTCAATGATGATTTGGTATCGTCATTATAACAGTTATTTGCTCCAGTTTTGATGTGAGTGGCATTCTAGGACCAGTTACCTACACCCATGAGTAGGGCCAGGATTGATGCCAATCATGTCAATTAAGGTGCTTTCACATGTGCGGTGTAGCAAGATGAGTTCTCGTTATTTTACATGACTATTGATGGCTCATGTTGTGCTCGTAAGTTATGTCGTATTTAAGTTAATTGATTTGTAGACAATTATTTGTTTATAATTGGATTTGTGTTGTGTCGAGTTTGTCTTGTATATAACTGGTTTAGTTAATTTTGTATTGATCTATTTATTAACGGGATTTCACAGGTCAGTTCGTATGGTTACTTATTAATGCTAAATTCTGACTTTTTAACTAATGTGACGGTCGAAAATTGTTAACCCTAATTTTGAACAGGAAAAATAGGCTTGAAGATGTGCACAAAGAAGCTGGCTCGAAATAGTTGTGAGAAATCAGATAAAAACCAATTGAAGTACTGAATGGTGGCTCGTGTATACATCAAGACCAACTTCCTTGGAAACCATGATTGAAGGCAAATCAATCAACTCGACACACGGATTTGAGACAAAATTATTAAGGAATTAGAGGATTTGAGTTTAAATTTAATAGATTTGAGAGGTAACGAATGGATTTGTTAAAAATTTGAAATAAATGAGTAAATATGAATTTAGCTAAAAATAATGCAATTTTTTTTCAAAATGACTTATACATGGTACCAAATTAAAACGACGTTAACTTCATTATATATATGATTATAAATGAATCGGATATAAGTTAAAATAAATTTTAATACCGTACAATTTAAATATGATACAATTTATGGAAGAAGAATAGCTTCTCAAGCTCAATGCACTCTTTCAGCATTCTGTACACAAAGTAAATTACAACTATTTTCAACCATTGTGAATTTACGTCCATGTGCAGGCCCATGAGAGAGAAGGAGAGAGAGAGCTTCTGTTTAGGTGGAGTTGATGACTTGTAATTAAAATTAAACAAATGATCACTATGAAGTTAAACTGGGCCGGTGGATTCATTAGTCAGTTTACAACTACAGCAATACCCTCAAGCTATTAATAATAAAATAATTATGGAAGATAAGATCAATCCGTGCCTTTAAATGAACATGGGTTTTTGAGATCATAATGACCTGTTCTCATAACTGTTTTAATGGAGATGAAAGGAACAATACAATCTCCTTGAGACAAGGAAAAAAAGCTCCTTCTTCCCATGCCAGCTTTGATTTTCCCACCTTCGCGCC